AGGACTGGAGGTTTCTGTGAAGGGTGGGTTCCTGCAGCGGCCACGTGCTTGTCTTGCTCACTCTTCGTCGTCCTCAGCTGGCTCTCTCCGCCACGCCGCCTGGTGGCCTCCTCTGCTTCGGACTTCCCGCAGTTTCTTCGTTTTGTAGATTGCTAAGCTGATACGCGCAGTGGTAATTCCTGAATTCTCTGTTGTTTAACTGGATTTTGTTTTGGGGATTAGATTCTAGGATGATGGATTCGGAGAACCAGGGCTTTGAAGAAGCCCGATTGTATTCCTCTCATGAGGAGGTGGAAAATTTGGATTTCAAGGAGAAGTTAAGCGCCAAATCTTTTTCTAATTATCGCAGTGCCATGTCCTCGCTCTCTGATGCCCACCATCCACTGTCCTCGCCGGCTGTTCTTACACCGGCTGACTCAGATCCCCTGCGTCCGCCGCCGATGGATCGAGATCTCCAAAAACCTTATGTGTCTGATCATTTTTTCTCCGACCCGCTTCACTTTTCTGATGTGAATTTTGGCCCGTCGGATGGGAATAATGTCAGTGATCTTAATGGTGTTGAAAGCCCTAGCAAGAGTTTGGAAAGTTCTGGGAGTTTGTCCAGATCTTCGTCTTCCAACTCCGAGTATATAAAAATTTCAGTCTCGAATCCCCAGAAGGAGCAAGAGGTTTCGAACTCGCTAGTGCCCGGTGGGAGTTCGTACATCACGTATCTGATCACGACGAGGACTAACATAGCGGAATTTGGAGGGTCAGAATTTAGCGTTCGAAGGAGGTTTAAGGATGTGGTGACGCTATCAGAGCGTTTGGCGGAGTCTTATAGAGGGTTCTTTATACCCCCACGGCCGGATAAGAGTGTGGTGGAGGGCCAAGTGATGCAGAAACAAGAGTTTGTGGAGCAGAGAAGGGTGGCACTGGAGAAATACCTGAGGAAGCTAGCAGGACATCCAGTGATCAGAATGAGCGATGAGTTTAAGGTGTTTTTGCAAGTTCAAGGGAGATTACCACTGCCAACAACCACCGATGTTGCATCTAGGATGATTGATGGGGCAGTAAATCTCCCTAAGCAGTTGCTCAGTGAGAGCGCAATGGCGCCTCAGGAGGTGGTTCAGCCAGCGAAAGGTGGAAGGGATTTGTTAAGATTGTTTAAGGAATTGAAGCAATCTATGACAAATGACTGGGGCAGTTCGAAGCCTCCAATCGCCGAGGAGGATAAGGAATTCTTGGAAAAGAAAGAAAAATTGTGCGATTTCGAGCAGCAGCTCAGTGCTGTATCTCAGCAGGTGACATACTTATTATACTTATTAGTTAGCCAAACTGTGTATATTATTTGCTGGTCGTTTTAATTATGGTTGTAGCGCAGGCTGAATCGTTGGTCAAAACTCAGCAAGATATGGCAGAAACATTTGGAGAGTTAGGTTTGACATTGATTAAGTTGACGAAATTTGAAAATGAGGAAGCTGTATTCAACTGTCAAAGAGTTCGTGCTGCTGACACAAAAAATGTAGCTACTGCTGCTGTTAAAGCAAGCCGATTATATCGAGAACTCAATTCTCAAACTGTGAAACATTTGGTAAACTTCTTATCTTCCTTGATGTTATGAACTGAAAACATTGCTATTTGATCGAGTTATTTTGAAAATGGCTCTTCTTTTAAGTAATAAATTAGACAGTTAGTATTGCCGAAGAAACTCGTACACGCCCACACTATTCGATCTATCATTTATGTATGTAGATTATGAACATTATAGTCCATTCATGATATGATAGAATAATAGCAGCTAGCTCAAGACTTGTGCATTTCATTATAGTCCTGTAATTATTCCGTAGCTATTTATTTTATTTACTTTCAGGACGTACTTCACGACTATCTGGGATTAATGCTAGCAGTTCATGGTGCATTCTCAGAACGCTCGAGTGCTTTACTGACCGAGCAAACTCTATTGTCTGACTTGTCCTCATTGCGTTCAAGGGCTGAAAAGCTTGAAGCCGCATCATCTAAAGTATTTGGTGGTGACAAATCAAGGATTCAGAAGTTAGAGCAGTTAAAAGAAAGCATAAGAACTACAGAGGATGCTAAAAATGTTGCAATGCGAGAATACAAGCGCATAAAGGTGCCTTCCCATCAAATCTTGCAGTGTCTTTCCTTCAATATATTTTTAAACTGTAGTACATAGGATGTGATGTATGTTATGGTATGAGTCTCGCCTTGATTTGGAAGCTTTATCGCTCGTATTGTTCAGAGTGTAGTTTTAGGTTGTAGGATTTTGCATTTTGTTATCATTTTTCTTTGCTAATTTCTAAGGAAGGACGATGCTCCTATTATTGTTGGGCTTCTCGTTTGGTATATATGGAGCTTACATCATGAACTCAGAATGTAATTGAACATCACACTTCCTATTTTCTTGCTAATTTCTAAGGAAGGAAGATTAGGGTAAGCCCCAAGAGTAAGCGACTCTTTCTCGTGGCCTTTAGGATATGGATAACGATTCAGTGCTTTAAGAATCATGTCAAAAGAGATTAAATTGGCTTTGTTTTCTTTGAGGAAACTTAAGCCAGACTTGATTGAACCAAAGGGCAAAGTGTAAACTCAGGTGTCGAGGTTGGGTTAAAACCAGGACGAGCTTCCTTGTGTATATTCCTAGGCACATCTAACTTGACTCAAGCACTTCTACTTTCAGTTAAAGGAGGAAAAAAAAAAAAAAATCCCACTTTTGGAGATGACTCATAGCTAGGAACAAGTTGTACTTCGTTGCTTGCTGATCTGAGATATTTAGTTGTGGGATTTTCATTTCCTTATTTCCTGAGCAGTATCAGGATTTTCTGTAAGGTGTCAGGTTTAGAAGAACCCTTCTGTGTTTTGTCCTGATGCCTTCACGTGAGATCCCACGTCAATTGGAGAGAAGAACGAGTGCCAACGAGAACGTTGGGTCCTGAAGAGAGGTGGATTGTGAGATCCCACATCGGTTGGAGAGAGGAACGAAACATTCTTTAGAAGGTGTGGAAACCTCTCCCTAGTAGAGGCGTTTTAAAAATTTTGAGGGGAAGTTCGAAAAGGAAAACCCAAGACAATATCTACTGGCGTGGGTTTGAGCTGGTACACTTCATATATGATCATTTTGTGATATGTTTTTGGGGTAAAAGGAGGGAGTGAGAAGCAAAGGCCATTGCGGCTTACATCTGAGCTCCCCTGAGACAAGCTCTAACTTTTAGCCTCGTCTTACGTCTTCTTTGAACCATAAGAGGCCTGGGCTTTTTTGTATGCTTTTACATGACTGTTATGCTTTAGCCATACTTGCTCATACAAGTTTAAGATTTAAAATATTTTTAGTTAAATTTGAGACTACGTTTCGTCTCGCCCCTTATAGGGTAAAATCCTGAGGTCACCTTTAGCATTTCAAGGTCTGAACTTCTACAGATCATATTGCCTAAACCTCGACTCAGTTGTCACAATTTTTGTCAATAACACAATGCAAAACCTTTCTTGCTTTGGCTTCTCAGTCGTTTTTTACACTGGCCTGATGATGCTGTATGTAATAATTCAGGAAAACAATAGAAGTGAACTGGAAAGATTTGACAGAGAACTACAAGCCGACTTCTTGAGTATGCTCAAAGGGTTTGTAACAAATCAGGTACGTACCGTCCTGCGTCCTGTCTAGGATGATGATGATGATGATCATGTTTTAACCCATAATTCAAGCTTTGTATGATTGTATGATCATTTTAACTTGTGCTGAAGCATGCATAGCTCTGGTTGGTCAGATATTGGAATAAATGATTATGTAAAAGGGTTTTTGTGTTGTTGTTGATAGGTCCGATATGCAGAGAAGATGTCTGAAGTATGGGGGAAGGTAGCAGAGGAGACAAGCAGCTACTCAAAGGAGAGCAGCTGAGATTGGTTCTGTGGTATCAATTCCAATCCTCAAGAACACATTCTTTTTCCTCGTTTTTTCCTTTTAGTTCTTCTCCTTTTTGGTCTCACTAGCTTCGTTTCACTTCCTCTTTGTTCATATAATTTACCATTTTTAAGGTAATAAAAATATGAAAAGGAACACACTTGGGGAAGGTTTTTTTCAACATCTTTATTGCCCAAGTTTGTGTCCCTACGATATATGTTAGGTTCCCCACACACTGAGCTGATGCAGCACATGTTTATCACTGGAAAAGCAGCAAAGTGAATGTAGCAATCATTTTTCTTTAGTTATATAATGACAAGAATCATAAAGTTTTTGAAAATATAACCATTCATAGTGTAATCCATACCATTCTTTTTTTACAATTATTGCATTCTCTTTTAAAAATTTTAGTGACAAAGTTCTTGAAAGTATCAATTCTTACTAGTTTTATAATCATTCCATTCTCCCTCGATCTATAATTACTCCTTAGTCCCATTTTATTAGATCATATTTCTCTAGGTCTCGGGATGAATCCCATTTATAGTTATTATTAAAATTTTGAAATTAGCCTTCCATTAACAAATTAATTAATTTTTATGAAAGAATATGATTCAATTGAAAGGGTAATGCATAATGATTATGAAGTTTGAAAAATAAGACCAAAAAGGTGATTTGGGACCCTTCTCCCTCCTTCATATTCTCCAACCAATTCATTTTGGTCTTAAACTTTGACCATCCCTCTTCCACTTTTACTTTCCACCCACTAATTTACAAACTTTATAATATTCTCTTGCATTAACACAAAATCAACGTATCTTTTCTCCTTCTATCAATCATCCCTAAATTATTATAATGTTGTGGAAATCGTACCAATCAAATATGACCTATAGTTTTTCGGGTTTCTTTTTCCGAGAAATAATATGTTGTACCAAAACAAAGTACTTACCAATTATGGTTGAAGTATGCTCGAGAGTGATTTTTTTAATCTCGAGAACAAATTATATACCAATTAAGGTTGGATTATGCTCGAGTGATTTTTTTTTTATCTCAAGGACAAAGTACTTACCAATTAAAGTTGAAGTTTTTTTTAAATTCCGAGAACAAATTAGAAACCAATTAAAGTTGAAGGATGAATGGCAATTATTTATTGATATGGATGGAGAAGAGGGAGTAATGTAACGAGTGATGAACAAACCGCGTTCCCTTCCCATTTTTTATTTCTACTTTTGAATTCTTCCAATCACTCTTTTTCTTCATCAATTTCCTGACCGTCTCTTCGATTTGTTTCTCTCTGGCATTTTCGCAAACAGTTTCATGTATCTGAACCTCGTTTCCATGTCTCTCGCTCTTTGATTCTTCCCTTCCCCTTTTCTTCTTCTGCGCCTTCCATTGCTTTGCTTTGCTTTGTTTCTGATCCATCTTCCTTTTATCAATGGTTGACAACGGCGAGGAGAAGTTGCTGGCTATGGCTCGCCACATAGCCAAGACCATGGGTCGCAACGAGTCCATGGCTGATGATATTCTTCACATTTTCTCCAATTTTGATGCTAGGTTTTCCCTCGATAAGTTGTCTGATAAGCCCGATGAGCTTGATCCCAGAGGCTCCGCCGATTTGCATCGCTCTCTCAAGTCTTTGGACCGCCGGATCTCCCAATACTTGGTCGCCGACCATCCAATTTGGGCTGACTCTGCTGATTCCTCTGCGTTTCTTGACGCTATCGATGAGTTGATGGCAATCATTAGGGACTGGACGCCGATGGCTAGGGATAAGTCTGTTGGGAACTACCTTGCTCGCGCTGACGATCTGATGCAGCAGGCGATGTTCCGCGTCGACCAAGAGTTCCGGTCGTTGATGGACCGTGGAGGTGAGTCTTTTGAACTTACTCGTCATTTCAGGAACGGCGAGTCAACTGGTGATTTCTGCTTCGATTCTGAGGAAGATGAGGATGTTGCGGAAGGAATTCTTGGCGATGGTCTCCAGATCCCTGTGGCGCAGCCGGTGACGGACTACAACATCGTTATCGACGCGCTTCCGTCGGGGACTATCGGCGATCTCCATGAGATATCGAAGCGTATGGTTGCGGCTGGGTTCGAGAAGGAGTGCTCGCACGCTTACAGTAGCTGCAGGAGGGAGTTCTTGGAGGAGAGTCTTTCTAGGTTGGGGTTACAGAAACTGAGCATCGATGAAGTTCAAAAGATGCAATGGCATGACCTTGAAGAGGAGATTGAGCGCTGGATGAAAGCGATTAGCGTCTCCCTTCGAGTTCTCTTCCCAAGCGAACGACACCTCTGCGAACGCGTCTTCGTCGGCCTCTCCTCCACCGCTAATCTCTCTTTCATGGAGGTCTGTCGAGGATCGACGATCCAGCTACTGAATTTTGCAGATGCGGTGGCAATTGGCTCCCGCGCCCCAGAACGACTCTTCAAAATTATAGATATGTTCGAAACCTTGAGAGACTTGATGCCAGAGTTCGATTCAGTATTTCCAGACCTGTACTGTTCGTTTCTTAGAAATGAAGCACTCACAATCTGGAAAAGTTTTGGCGGAACAATCAAGGGGATCTTCATGGAGCTTGAGAATTTGATCCGTCGTGATCCGGCTAAGACTCCGGTACCGGGGGGCGGCCTTCATCCAATCACTCGATATGTGATGAATTACCTTAGAGCAGCCTGTAAGTCGCGGCAGACTCTGGAGCAAGTTTTCGAAGAAGTCGCTCTTACCTCCAAGGACTACAGCAAGCTCGAGGACAGAGCAGCAGCATCATCATCGTCATCGTTGTCAGTTCAAATGGAGTGGATTATGGAGGTTTTAGAGAGCAATTTAGAGGCGAAGTCCAAGATATACAAGGATCTTTCCTTGAGCTCTGTGTTTCTGATGAACAATGGGCGATACATTGTCCAGAAAGTGAAAGACAGTGAATTAGGATCAGTTTTAGGTGAGGATTGGATTCGAAAGCACTCCGTTAAAAACCGGCAATACCTTGGGAATTACCTGAGAAGCTCATGGAGCAAGGTGATCGGAGTGTTGAAAGTGGACAGTGGCTCTTTAGCTCCGGCTGCGATGAAGGAGAAGCTCCAATCATTCAACGTGCAGTTTGAACAAGTCTGCCAAACCCAATCCACATGGGTGATATTCGAGCATCAGCTTAGAGAAGAAGCAAGAATCTCAGTCGCCAAAACCCTGTTGCCGGCATATCAAAAGTTCGTCGGAAGGTACCAGAGTTTGCCGGAGTTGGCAAAGCGTACAGACCGGTATTTGAAGTACACGGTGGAGGATGTGGAGGGTCGAATCACCGAGCTGTTCGAAGGAGGAGGAGGAGGAGGCGGCGGCGGAAGGAGGTGAGGTGAATAAAAATTGCGTGTATATGTGTAGAAATGGGGTGTTTGATAAGAGAGAATGTTGGGCAAAGTGGTAATGGGATTTGATGTGGTGGGTGCAAGTGTTATAGTGAATGAATATGAATGATTAAATCTGAAGGGCTTTGCTCTTTTTGTTTAATGATTCAGAATGGAGGATTAGGAGAGATTACTGGGCGTTTGAAGCCTTTGATTGTTCCTGAAATTGGGCAATGAGTTGAGATCTGATCTGATCTGATCTGATCCAAATTGGCCTCCACAGATTCCTGTTTTATGGATCCAATCCGGCCAAGAAGACGACGATCCTAAAGGAATCGCAACAAACAGGTACACAGAAATATACTATTTTCCGCACGCACTCTGTGGCTAGTTCTTGATTAATTCTGACTAATAATTAAAAAGAAAAAAAGATCAATTGCATATTTGATTCATTGAATTGTATGCGAAAAGACAATAAGATTGAAGATTTGATTCATTGAATTCTACTGCTTTTTTCAATTTCAAAATAATTACAACCGATCCAACTAAGATCAAATGGGTTGGCATAAATCTAATCTCTGACCACAACTATAAGGATTTGAATTTTAGTATCCTTGCCAATCTTCTTTCAATTCTCTAATTAACACGAATTACATTATTTTTATTATTATTATTATTATTATTTAACAACCTTCACACAGTGCACCAACATCACTAATTTTTTAGAATTGCCGTTGTTGTAGCTCCATAATCCTCATGTTGCACACTATCACCGTTGTGGACCACACGTGGATTGGGTTTTATTGATCAGGTTGTTGTCGCTAGGTTTCAGGATTCACGTTAGTTCACTCATGAAGAAGAATATCTCTAGTTCGAGTTCAAGCCTGGTTCAAGGTTAGGTCCAATTCGTTCAATTTTTTGGGTTCTTATCGATTCAATCAACAATCATCGGTCAATAAATTTTTGTCCAATTCGAGGTTCTTTTCTCTGTTAAAAGATTTTCAATCATTTCAACATGGTTTCAGTCAATTTCTTTTAATTTAGACCGGTAGAGTATTTTCCTTACATTTAAGCCGGTTCAAGAGTTTGTTAAACATATCTAAGCAGGAATTAAGAATAATAAAGTTTATATGTACATCATGTGACAGTGGTGATTAGATTTAGGCATTATCGAGATTCTTTTAAGGTTTGGATAACAATTGCTATTGAAGCAAAGGAAATTTACTATTAGACGCGTTATATTAGGTACCATGTATAGTCATGTTTTAATATTTTAATTTATACTTTTAAATGAAATTTATAACATGCACGTAGTAACAACCAAAATCATAATATTTTAAAAAGGGTATTACGTAACCGAGTTTATAAAGTAGATTAATTAGTTAATAAAATAGCGACAGATTTTGGAATCTTAGGTGGTGTGATGGGCTTAGGTTTCCTTAATTAATCAAATGTTTTATAATAGTAAGCTTAGTCGGAATTGGGATTATTCAATGGTCGGTGTCTTGTCTTATGTTATGTTTGGGTTTCATAATAATAATAATAATAATAATAATAATAATAATAATAATAATAATAAATGTCTGGAAAATTGTAAATAAACAAATAAATAGGAAGCTTCCTTTTAGTTTGTAACATGCCTCCACAACCTCACACCAATTCCCTATTTTTTTTTTTTCCATTTTCTATACTTTTAATACATTATTTAAATATTTTATTAACGAAATTAAATAAAAGTATTAAAAAACATTAATATTTATTTTTAAAATATCATAGATTGAGGCATAAACAAAATTCATCTAAAATACATTATTGTTTTTAGATTTAATTAATTTAATAAAATGTTTTAGAGTATTTTTAAATATATAATTACGGAAATTGAATAGGAATAATTCCGTACGTGAAGGAAGTTTAATCACTTGGAGTTTGAAGTATGCGTTTGTCGGATGGCTATATTCGCGTTCACTCCCTACGCTGTCATGTCCCCTACCTCTCCTTATTTTAATTATTTTTTATTTTCTTTTTAAATATTCCAATTACTTCTTCCTTTTTTTTTATTTAAATAAGAACAGCTGCCTAAAATATATTTATTTAAAATATAAAAATAACGCGTAAATTAGAAGAAACCAACGCCATAATTCGGAATCCACTTCAGAAGGACATTTTCGTACTTTCCATTTTTTTAAATTTATTTTTCTTTTATTTTTGTGTTTATTATATAAATCTCATCTTTTTCCCCGTTCTTTCCCCTTCACAATTTTCAGTTCTCTTCAATTCTTCTTTGAAAGCTCCATTCCAAAACGCTGCCGTTTTTCTCTGGTGAAATGGGGAATAGTTTAAGGCATTGTTTGGGTTGTGTTCTTCCCTGTGGCGCTTTGGACTTGATCAGAGTGGTTCATCTCAACGGCCATGTCCAAGAATTCTCTCCGCCCATCGCCGCCGCCGAGATCCTAGATGCCAATCCTGGACACGTTCTCACCACTCCCTCCGACGACCACCACCACCTCGTCCGTCATGTTACCATTCTCTCCCCCGAATCTCACCTCCGTCGTGGCGGCATTTATTTCTTGATTCCGGCTAGCTCCGACCACCGGAAGGCTGCCAAAAATCCCTCCTCCGCCACCTCCAGCGACGCGGTTTTCCCAGAACCCAACGATCTCACCCACCGGATGGAGGATGTCATCGTCTTCAAGAAGGCTAAACCCGGCCGCCGAGATCGTCGGAGCAGCCGTGCCGGCAGCGGCGCGTGGCGGCCTCATCTACTGAGCATTAATGAAGATTAATTAAACCCCCAAAATACCCTTCTCTTATCGACATCGAATTTTTTTAAAAATATGTATGTCGTAATTCTTATGATCTTGTCCTTTTTTAAAAACTTTGGCGGCGGCCGATGAACAGAAATGGGAACTGTGAAGATCGTGTACAGTCAATTTGTTTTTTAAAAATGTATTGGTATTCATTTGTAATTGTTTAGCTTAATTATAAAAATAAATAATGAAATATTTAATTTATATTATAATCTAAGAATAAAAAAAATTTATTTGTACAGAAAATTAAAATAAAATTTAATGATAAAAGAGAATCAAGTAGGGTCAGGTTTGTGGTGCCATGAATTGGAAGAGTTGAGGGGCTTTACTACTTCCATAGGAAACGACTCATCCATTAGGCATCGGAAATCTTCTAGAAGCTCATGATCGCCCACGATGGTCTGCTGCTGAACCACCAGCACTGTGGCGTCGCTGGGGGAATCAATGGTCGCCAACATGTCCCCAATGAACCCCAGCTCTGGGTACTCGTGCCACTCGTTCAACCCCACGAACAGCGCCGAGTCCCCATCGTGGCGCCGCCCCACCAATATGAGATCGTAATTGTGTTCCATTTTCCTCATCACTCCGATCAGCCCCACGCAGTCGCTCGCCGTCACCTCTTCGTAGAAACAGTGCTTTATCCCTGAGCTCGACATGATCAGCTTGAACTCGTTTAGCATCTCGAAGTCATGTTCTTGGTCCGCCGGTTGGTGGGTGGTTCCTTTTGGATGAATCAGCCGGACCACCGTGAGCGTCACCATGGGATGCTCCACCATGCGCGTTGCATACGCTAGCGCCTCCCGATCATCCGAGCCTCCCACAAAAATCAGCCCCACCTTGTACAATTCCGCTCTGTTCATTATGGGAACCGTGTTGGCGGTGGTCGCCATTATCATAGGGTCTATCAAGATCCCGACCGAACATGGAGCCTTTGATAGAATGTTCTTGTTCACTGCACTTATTGCATTCACCGAACCCTCGTACGCGTTCATTGTCCTCCGCTTGTGGAACGGCACGATCACCATCGACACTCGCTTCTCCAATGCCAACATGCATACATCGTCATGCATGGTGGCAAAGGGAGCCACCGATGTGAACGCGTTCATTATAACCTAAAACCACAAAAATATATCGGTTGAGAATTATGGAGAGGAGGAGTATGACATTGGCTAATTAAAGACATGAGAGCTATGTCAAGAATTGTTGGGCTGGAGTCCCACGTTCATGATCATGGGTTTAGCCAATGTGGGACTCCCTCTTAACAATCCTCCTCTCGAATAGAGTACACTATAGAACCTCCCCTAAATCGAGGCTCGACTCCTTCTCTGGAGTCTTAGAACAAAGTATGTCATTTGTTCTACACTTGAATTACTTTTGACTACACTTTCGAGGCTCCCAACTTCTTTGTTTGACATAGATAAGTCAAGGGCCGACCTCTGAAACCATATTAGAAATCTGATATGGTCCACTTTGAGCATAAGCTCTCCAAAGGGTCTCATTCCAATGAATTTACTTATAAACTCGTGATATCATATCATTGTGGAGGTTCGTGACAAGTTAATGCTCAAAGTGAACAATATCAGAAGAGTACTATGGAGGGTCGTGGTTCCTAACAAAAACAAAAGATCATTATCACCCACCTTATCGTAACTCATTTGCTGAAAGAGTTGGAAGGCATTGATGATTTGATCGGAGAGATTGCAGCGTTTGGAGCTGCGACGATTGGGGTGGTGGTGGATGAGGAGCGGAGAGGCTCGGCCGGTGAGCTGGATGAGGTGGATGAGGTAGAAGCAAATGGGGCTTTTAATGGTGGGATTGGAGACCTCAAGGAGGTTGATTACAGAGGGAGTATTGTCTTGGTGGTGAATACAAAGCAACACACGCAGCTCCCCGTTTGGGCTGGTATGCTCAATGGTCCTCCTCCGCCTATTGCATGTGTATTTGTTTGATGGTTTGTATAGCATTTTCACTATCGGCGATGTCGCCCCTGTCATCACCATCATCGCTAACACCATCACGCTGTATGAATTCAGGTCTATCATCTACACATAGACACACACACACAGACGCCACCCATTTTCACGAGCTACCAAAAGTAATATGAATGAAGAGACATCAATCCTACCTAATTTGGAATAGTGTATTTTAAAGCCTGTAAAGGGAGGGAGGAGGAATTACTTGAAGGAGCAATCCCTGTTGGAGAAAGAGAATGTCAGAGATGCCCTGAGTGCTCATGATGAGTCCCAAGGTCAAGGAATCAACCAAGGGCATTTTGCAGTACAAGGAAGGGAGCGTGGCCCCAATCAGCTTCCCCATTAAGCTCCCAAACGCCAACAATTGAACGACCCAAATGCTCTTCATATCAAGCTTGGAGAGATTGATTCTAGCGCCACTAATGACGAAGTAGAAGGGCAGCATGATGGAGGACACAAAGGACTCGAGTTTATCCACCAACGCGGACCCAAGGGGCGGCCCATCAGGCACAGCCAGCCCAAGAATCATTGGGCCCAATAAGAAATGCTGGCCCACGAACTCACTAAACAGAGAACAGAACAACATCATTATGAACATCAAAAACACGTAGCTTTCCTTAATGGGCCCCCCGGAGATGTTGGTCTGCTCCACAATCCAAAACATGATGGGGCGAAGAATGTAAATGACGAGGATGATCATGCACGCCACGCAAATGGCCATCCAGGGCAGCGCGTCTTGCTGCTCCATCGAGGTTTGGCGTAGGGTGAAGCAGATGACTATGGAGATCCAGCTCAAGGTGCCGCTGATCATGGAGGAGGAGAGGGCGAGGCGGCCGATGTGGGAGTTGAGAAGCTTCAGATCTTCTAAAACGCAGGCGATGACGTAGAAGGAGCTGGAGGACTGAAATGCGCCGATGGCGGTGAGGGAGTCCTTTAAATTGCTATCCATGTCGATTGTGCTCTTTAGGTACACCGACAACAGGCAGTTGATAAGCAATGGGAAGAGGAACACCAACACGCCGATGACCATGGCCTTTGTCCCTGATTTGGTGATCAATGTCAGATCCATTTTAACGCCCATGAGGAACATGAATATCATGCACCCGAAGAAGGCGAAGGTTTCGCTGACGTAGAAGCTCTTGTAGGGGAACACCACCTCCAGAAGTGGGCTGTTTCCACCGTTGAACGACGGCCCAAGGACAAGGCCCACCTGAAGGAAACAAACCCAAAGTCAACAAAAAAAGAAAAAAAAGAAAAAAGAACAAGGACAGGCGGGTGCGGGCGCGACCAGCATCTGAGAAAAGAAGGAGCTCTCCCCAATGGGTGTGAGGAGGCATTGTAAGAGGCAGGTGAGGAGCGAGGAGACGGAGATTTGAGCCAGAAAAACGGTGTTTCCAAAGGAGAAAGGGTTGTCCCCAAAGAAAATGCCTCTGGATCTGTAACGCTCGTTGGGCTGGCACACCCAGCTGCCATTGTGCGCTGCTCGAATGTTCATCCTTTCAACCCTTCAATCTCGTTTAAACTATTCCTTTCACTCTCAATTATTTCAATATGGCTTTCAAACTTTGTGGTCAATTTCCTTCCTTACTTTCTAACCATCTATTACTCCTCCCTTCCTCCTTCCTCTTCCCTCTATAATTAGAAATTGATGCTTGTCCATACATTTTCATACAAAAATCACAATCCTACTCTTTCCATCATTCTCTTTAATAGGAACCCAACCCATATTCATATTTTTCGTCCACTTTTCTGACTTCCCAGGATCGTCAAACATCTCTTGTGTACGATCTAACCTTGTTTGCTCACGTGCATGTTCAATTGTCATTGTTGTGTTGGTTCCCAACAATACAGCCCATGCATCGTGATGGCATCCCATGTCTCCACACATGTTGGCTATCTTGGCTTGTTTGGATGTATCCGTTCGGCATTGACCCACGTGTCGATCATCTTAATTGTAACATCTCGAACGTCCATTTATATGAAATTACCCAAACATTGGACTATACTTTTAAAGTTTCAAGTTCAATGAGAGTGTTTTGATTAGAAAGAAGAGTCGATCTCAAACTAAAATAAAAAATAGAAATATAACTTTTAATTTAAAAAAACAATGGCATCTAAAAAGTTTCTATTTTTCCAAATTTTAAAAGAGAATAAAAATGTTTGGCAACAAGATAATTGTGAATTGTGTTGTAGGGATAAAAGAAAAAAAAGGCGAAATCTGGTTACGACATGTCGGTGGGTGGAACTAGCCCTCACCCACCAATCTCCTTTTGCCAAGTGTCACCTCCTCTCTTTCCTATTTACTCCGTGACATTCACGTACTCGTTCTTCTCTTTCCATTTTACCCAAATACCCTTTCCGTGTGAAAGTGGGTTAAAATAGTCATTTAATAACCTTGGTCCCCCAAAGTTGACTTTCCTCCTTCAGCTTCTCCGCCAAGTAATCCACTCACCACCCCCTCCACCGCTTTCTTTGACTTGTTCAAACTTTGTGCTGACGTCAGCGATGACATCACATATCTTGCTATCTATCTGTCACCTCTTCATTTTTTTTTTCTAAATATCGAACATTTATTTCGCCAATTTCTTTTATATATTCAAACTTAAAAACAAAAAATAATAATATTGAAGGTATAATTGTGATCTATAACATACAGGTGTATTATGATACTAATACAAAAAAGAAAATAATAATAAAACCCAACCAGCCCCTAAGAAAAAAAATATACAGCCAAAAGAAAAAAAGAATTAAATAAACCTTATTTGATTTTTTTTTTTGGACTTGAAGTTTTGCCTAATTCGTAAAAAACCCCCCAAAAGGAGAGAAAAAAAGAATTGGAAAACCCCTTAGTGTCAACATAGGAGAGATTGGATGAACATGTCATGATCTCTGGGCTCTTCTTTGGCTCGAGCGAAATTATGGTTGGGTTGGGTTTGGTTCATGTAAGATCCCGATCCCATTCCCATTGAGTTTCCGAATTCCGGGAATGAAAATCCATTGGGATTTTGGACCATTTCCACCGCGAATGCTGTCTGCAGGGACTGATGGCCGCCGTTGTTTGACTGATGGGCCACCGCGGATGGGCGGATTGCGGTGGCTGGAGGGTCGTTGTTGGGGAATGCACGGCTGAGGGAATGGCT